AAAAGAAACAGGGACACCCAAGGCATTGGAGGTGAGGACTTGGGGGGACAAGGTGGGGTTCAGGAGCTGCAGCAGCCTGGACACAGCCTTGATCAGTCTCCCTTCCTGTTGGCAATCCTGGGGCTACACTCAGAGTGTGGTTGGTAGCACCCAGGTGGAGTACTGGGCACTGAGAGGGAGTGGCTGGGGAGTCGCAGATAGCTGCTTGAGGTTCAAGGGGAGTAGGGCTTGCCCTGCCCAGTAACAAGGGCCTGGGCGAGGCAGGGTCCCTGGGATGAGGCTGGAAGGTGCAGTGGAGGGTGGGAGAGGGCGCCCCTCCCAGGCTGCGTGCGTCAGTGGGCCGACCACAGTGGGGAGTGGGTGGACTTTGTCATCATCCCTGGGAAGTCCCAGCCAAGACGCAGTGGAGTTTGTCCAACAGCAAGAGTGTCTGGGCAGGTGTCTGCATCAGCGCCTTGGCAGCAGGCCTGGCTGCAAGGGCCTTGCTCAGGGAAGCAAGAAGAGGATGCAGTGTGGCAGGTGCAGGGATGCCCTGCTAGATCACCACTTTGGGCAGAAGTGCTTCCCACTGCCAGGCACGGAGGCCTCAGACCTGCCCTAGTAACTCTCCTGGCTGATGCAGGAGACGAAAGCCTGTGTGTGTCCCCAGTGACCCAGGCAGGGCAGGTCTGCAGGGCAGCCACAGCCTCAGTGACAAACTCAGGGCTGGACCGCCCCTCCTCTGCCCTGTGCTACCTCTGGCACCTGTCTTGGGGGCATCAGTTGGGAGCTCTTCCCAGCAAGTCTTCTGCAAACACATGGCCTGTCTCAGCGCTGTCCCCAGATGCTCCATCTCAGCCAGTCAATTGTGTCCAACACTCACCAGGAAAACCAAGGTTTCTGAGACCCCGTTGCTATAGGCCAGAGAGGAGCCCCTAGGGAAGGCAGCCTGGACAAAGCACTGCCCATGGTTCTGTGCAGATGACACCAGAAGTGGGCATGGTCAGGGGGTTTGTTCAGAGGCATTTTAAAATGAAATAACCAGTTTCTTCTCCCAGCCTGGAGCTCATGGGGAAGTGGGGGACAGTGTTGCTTGGGGCTGCCACACAAGCCTGGTACCACACTCTACATGCTATCATCAACTAGCAGTGTTTTGGCTTTGTCTCCCATGCTTTAAAAACTCCTCATTGCCACCATGGACCAGGCTGAGGAAGGAAACATGGAGATCGCTTAGGTTTAGTCTCCAAAGACCTCGATCTCAGGCTCAATGAGGATGTGTTCTGCATATGAAATCTGGCCTCTTTCTCACCTGTGAGGACTGGATGCCTACTGGGCATGTCCATGAAAGAGTCAGGGGCAGGAGTGAAGCTGGAAGGGAGCACCTGGGCTGTGGCGGGCAGGGTAGGACAGGGAAGGGGCAGATGGGCCAAGGATGCCCCTTCTGGCCCCAACGCCCAAGGGCTCTGGGGCTGGGTGGAATGTGGTGGACTGGGGTCAACAGTGCTCAGGGAGGCATGTGGGACCCAGCAACTGGACCAGTGGCCAGCGCACAGCAATGTGATCTCCCAGGAGATGGAGAAGCCAGATGAGTATGCAGAAGACTGCATGTTTCCTAGGGGCCCTGAGATGTGTGGGTGGGTGAAAGCGATATCCTGGCAACCCGCTATGTTGTTGCTATCCCCCATGTTCTTTCTCTGATCAGTCACATGTAGGTGATAAGAGCGGTTTACACTCCCTTCCTACACCTGCACACTGAGATAACCTACTCTTCCGTGCAATGTGATTCTGCTTGTCTCAATCAGGAAACGCTGACCACAGTTAGACCTCTGGGCAGGGTGGCCTAGCATCAGCATGGGAACTTCACATGAGTGTGGGGTGTGGGTCAGAGGGCCAAACTGACCATCTCCCCAGACTATGCCTATGGTGCCACCAGGTACCTGGGCATCATCCCACCTCATGCCACTCTCGTCTTTGATGTGGAGCTTCTGAAACTGGAATGACAGCTGCTTCACTTCTTCCCATCCAGTTCCCTGCTTGTGGCCTGAGAAGGCAGTGGAGGACAGCCCAGGTAGTCCGGCTCCAGTCACCCACATGGGAGACGCTGATGGCTCCTAGCTTTGGCTTGGCCTAGTCCTGGATGTTATGGCCATTTAGGAAGTGAACTAGCAGATGGGAGCTCACTCGTTCTCTCTAACACTGTCTTTTAAGTAAATTTAAAAACTCTTTTAAAAAAGGTTTCTTCTCTGGACCAATCACAAGACCATCCGCCTTTACATATTATAAAACCCCAAACCATCAGCTTTAGGATGGCTCTCTCCTTCAGGGACCCTCAGTGTGGCTGGGGAATTTTTCTGTTTTTGTCCTAAACTTTCTGCTTTCATTCAAGAAATTGCTTCTGCTTTACACACTCATGCTTGTCCATGCTCCTTATTCTTCTTGAGTGTGAAACAAAAACCTAGTGAAAGAAAAGGAACCTTGGAGACCTCTCATGATAGGCTCACTGTGTTGAACCTCTGGTTGGTCTGTCTTTTCTTTCTTTCTTTCCTACCTTTTTTTTTTTTAAGTATAATTCAACAGCCCATCTGACCACTGGATACCTATTTAGTTTTCATCTATTTTAAAGGAAGATTGTTAGTAAGAGACAGCTCTTCTATCTACCTCCTGAATGTCCACAACAGCCAGGCCAAAGCCAAGGGCTGAGCACTCACTCTGTTTCCCCCCACATAGGTGGCAGGGATGCAAGCCCCTGGGCCATCCCCCGCTGCCTCCCAGGCTGCACTAACAGGAAGCAGAGCAGCTGGGACTCCAGTGGGCACTCCGATGTGGGATGCTGGTGTCGCCAAGTGGCTGTGCTTCTAGTGCTTTATGGGAAGCTCAGCAACCAGGCTCGGGCAGGCCCCAGACGGTTTTCCAATTTTCAACAGTTTATTGTTTCTTCCCATCTATTCTAGAGATCTGGGTTCTATTGTTGCTCTAAGCTGTCCTGGATGGAGCTGCCCATCAACCCCCGCTGGTGGATGGCTCAGCGTGACCCAGCTTCCCAGGGGTCAGCTGTCTTGAGACCTCCAAAGCCAACCCCGGAGGGGAAGGACATTGGGGACCCAGTGGAGAAGGTGCAGAGGGTGCAGAGTCAGGAAGACTGAAACCCAGCAAAATCGGCACCAGGGTTCACACCCACCAAGTAATCTTGGGGGGGATTCCTCCAGGCAAAGAGCGCCTCTTACAGGAAGGCAGCAGCACTGCAGGAGCTACAGGTGCCGGTCCCCAGCCCCGGGGGTCAGCTTGCAGGGGACAGGGGCAGGGAGTGTTGCTGTAGAGGCATGTTTCTTTGGGATGTGAACAGGCCTTGCAGTGTAAGGGGAGAGAAGGGCAAGTAAGATGGGGGGGGGCGCGTCAGGAGCCAGGGAAGGGGTGAGTGCTTCTACTGAGGATGCTTCGCTTCCCCCAGCCTGGTTGGTGCACCACCCCCCAACCTGATATTGCTTCAGCTACCCATGTTTATTCTCTGTCCTCACTGAAGCGGAATCAAGGCCACAGACCCAGAGCCCTGGGAAGCTTGGCCTCCCTTCCCTGCAGCCCTCCCCTCTGTCCACACTCAAGTGCTCAGGACTTAAAATGCTCCAAGGGCCACTTCTGTGGCCAGCAGCTAAGAAGGGGTGGACAGTCCTAGCAGCCAGCAAGACAGAGGCGACCGACTCCAGTGCTTGCTGTTGTACAAATACCTTTTATTTGCATGTGGTACTTGGTAAATATTGACTAATGATCACCCCAGACAGCCATCGGTTCACAAAACCCAGAGATGAATGGAGGCTTTGAAGCTAACAGGGCAATCAGAAAGAGCACAAACATGATGCAGCCAGAGCTTTCTCCCCGGCGACCAAACAGCAACAACAAAAGCAGATCCCAAACCAGAAGCCCCCAAATCAGTGACCACGCAGCCCTTCCACATAAACATTTATTGCATTTCAAGCTGACGGTGGGCACTGGCATTCTCTCAGCTGTGCCCTCCTTGGAACGGTGCCATAGAACATAGCTTTCTTCTGAAAACATTGGCTTTGAAGCCCAGCACCTTGAATCGGCATTTCTGAATGTGCGACACTGGCCTTGCCTTAGAGAATGGGGCTGGTGGACAAAAGCCTGTGCAATGTCCAGGCTGCCACAAGCTGGCCCCCTGGCCTCACTCAGCCACATAGGGTGTGAGCGGGAGGAAGTGGTCCCTGGGGTGGGGTATTTGGTCCTTTCACAGCCCTCTGAGGTGACACAGCAGGGCCCTTGTCTTGCCACGTGGCCCTGGCAGGAGCCCAGGAGGGGAAGTCCAAGGATGTGACACCCCCATGGTTTTTCTGGGAGATGAGGCGGCTTCCAGTCTTTGGGAGTGGGCTCCTGGAGGCAGTCCCACAGTTTTCCAAGAGATCCAAGTTCTGGAGAAGTGGACTATGCCCTTTCTGTCCACATCCCAGCTCCTGTCCCCAGACCTACCTAATTTGTAGCATCGATCACCAAATTCCCACTCACACACTTGCTATGGGTGAGACAAAGTGATGTGAAGAGGAGAAATGGCCCGTCTTCAGTAGCTGCCCCAAGTGGAGCCCATGGGGCTCGCTGTCCTTCAGTTGAAGCACCAGGAGATAGATCTTTGCACCTGCAGGAACTCCAAAAGCCTCGACTGGGCTTCTTAGTGTTTAAGGAGATGGGATGGGATGCTCCCCTTACCTACCATGGGGAAGTCATTGCTGAGGCCAAGTCCTCCGATAGGAGCTGGGACACTCGGCAGTGAGGACTCTGCGTGGCAGTTTTCTAAAACAGTTAGGGCCAGGTAATTCTAAGACACAATGAACTTTCCTGGGAAAAAGAAGCTACCAACTTTCTTGGGGACATCATTGGAACTTTGAGTGTTTGAACAAAGCTGCCAAGTATGGTTCGTCGCTCAGCCTGGAAAGACAGTCTGCTGGCGCCCTGGATGGCTCAGCAGTTTTTTGTTCACCATGCAGACGGCCAATGAGGAGACATGCAGCGGGGCTGGCAATCCGGGCTTCCGGTGGGCTTTCTCCCTGGGCACGCCTGCCGGCTGCCTCACCGGTAATAGATGCTGAAGGCATGGAGGATGTAGAGCAGTGTGGTGATGAAGGCGAAGAACTGGAGGAAGAGAGAGGGCTGCTGGGTCACTGGCTCAGAGACAATCCCTGCCCTTCCCTGTAGACCCCCAAGGGGTCCCCCTGCAGCCTCCCAACAGGGACACGTGTTCTGATCTCGCCACTGCTTGAACTGAAGGCAACAGCCTCGGCCAGTAACCCTGTCCCACTGGACATTCCCCAGCCCTCAGCATGCTCTCCCTCTTCCCCCATCCATGGGTGCATTCTCCAAGGCTGGCCATGGAACAGGCTGTCCTCCCTCCCGGCCACTCCCATGCCCTGGTCACTCTCCCTGTCCATTCCCCTCCAGTCTGGGCATCTCTGCTGATTCCCATGGCTTCGCTCTCTGGCCCAAACCTCCACTGTGCTCCTCTGCTCCTTGTGAGTATCTCAGATGTCCTCAAGCTCTTGGTGGCCTGAGGAACCTCCTCTCACCCAGCTGCCCAGCTGACACCTGTGGCCCTCTCTGCCTCTTCTCTCTCTGCACCTGCCATGGCCACCTGGCTATCTGCAAATGCACCACATCCCTGTGATCTCAGCCACCGTCATCCCACACTGGGCCTTCCAGTGGCCTCAGCTCAGACACTTCCACTTTCTCTGTCCCCACTCTATCTCATCTACTCCAAAGGAAAGTGTAATTGTGAATAATAAATAATTTGTATGTTATTGATGATCAAGAATATATACATAATCATGCCTTTATGCAGGACAGTTTGTGTGGTTTTCATGAACAAAACTGACTGACAGTGCTTGTGTTTTCCCAGGAGGGAATCCACTGTCCCTGTGGGTCCCTTCCACGTCCAGCCTTGCTCTATCCTCCTCCCTCAGGGCTCATTCACTCCCTGAAAAATCTTGGAGCTCACGTGTCAGGGCAAGGAACAGAAAATAAGGAAGGTGAGCACGCAGCACCTGCAGGGGGAAGGCCCCAGGGAAAACGAGCCACAGAGATGGGTGTGTTAGGGAAAAGTCCGGACAGGGCAGGGAGCTGCCCCGCCATCATGGAGTATGGGCCATGGGTGTGTTAGGGAAAAGTCCGGACAGAGCAGGGAGCTGCCCCGCCATCATGGAGTATGGGCCTTCCACTGAGAGCGTGTATTTATGGTGTGTGTGGTGAGAGGGAGAGAATGAGAGAGACGGAAATTTTTCACCTGCTAGATGACTCCTCAGCAGCCAGGGCAAGGCTAGGCTGAAGCCAGAAGAATGGCGCTCCATCTGGGTCTCCCAGGTGGGTGGAGAGCTCCAGGCACTTTGGCCCTCACTCGCTGCTTTTCCCAGATGCATAACCAGGGAGTTGGATTGGAAGTGGAGGAGCCAGGGCTCAAGCTGGCACTTCCATAGAGGGTGCTGACATTCCAAGTGGTGGCTTAACCCACACAACACCCATCCCTGGCACCTGGTTCTGGCTGCGGAGACAGCACGTCACCATGGAGCTGTTCCTCCCACCACGACTTTGAGGCCTGTTGCGGGGAGCAGGGGCCCACACTCCATGGGCACTGGGCAAGGGTACAGACCTGCTGTGGTGTTAGTGTAGGATTAAGGAGGGTCAGGCCCTCCAAGTCAGACCTCTGCTGCCCTGAGCTCCCGGCCACATGGGGGTGCCATTTGCCAGGGAGAGGAAGATTGTGTGGGCAAGTGAGAGGGTTACTGCTGGGGAGGAGACAGCTGGCTGGGACCACTAGTCTTGGGTTCTGCCAGTTGACATACCAGGCATCTCGGTGGCGGGGCGGGGGGGGGGGTGGTGGTCTGTCATTGAAAGCAAAGACAGTAGCTCAGTCACAGGGAGCGAGAGGCTGGAGTGGGGAAGTGGGCAGTGGGCTTCTGGTTCCACCGCCAAGGAAATCCACTGGAGGGTTTTCAATAGAGACAAGAGCTTAGAATTTGAGGGGAAAAAAATAGCATCCTGAAGACAGCACTGTGTTGGCCTGGCCGAAGCAGGAAGTACAGGCAGGAGCCTTGGGCATAGATGTTAGCATGTCTGCGTGTACCAATACACACACACCTTCCCCTCCCTCTGCCCCCTGCTCCTCAGCCTGCAGGCTCTGACTTTGACCTCAGGCAGCCGGCTGCCACCCTGGCCCTGCCACTCACCGAGGCAGCCGGCTGCCACCCTGGCCCCGCCACTCACCGAGGCAGCCGTGTTGATGTAGTAGATCCGCACGTTGTTGCTCTCAGAGAGGATGGTGGCGTGTACTTGTAAGACGGCCGCACTCATGTACAGGATGCCGGTGGTCCCATGGTACAGGCTGTCCTGGAAATGGGTCACCGGGAAGAGCAGTTTTCTCCCTGCTCCACTCTCACCTCCAGGAGGGAAGAGTGAGAAAGTGGGGTGGGGAGGGGGCAAGGCCCCTGCCGAGCTCTGGCTTTGTGTAACAAACAACAAGGGGTGCGTAGATACCCACAACATGGTGTCAGCTTACACGATTTAAGCACTGGCTGTGTGTATCGTGCCAAACCATTTTTCACATCTGATTTAACCCCGTCAAGCGTGTGGAATTAAAGCCAGTGAGCAGTCAGCAACTTCAAGGCCAGGCTCTGACCCCTTTCATTCAGGATGGGCCCTCCTCCTAACCTCTAAGCCAAGCAATCCTCTTCACGCTTACTATGTTCAAAATTGTTCAACACAGAAAACTCTTAGATGGCGATCAAGATAATAGACTGTGTGAAGCATCAGTGATGCAATATTGAAAGGATGAAAGACTCAACATGAAAAAAAAGAACATACTATAATCAACATACTACAATTGGCATAACGCAACCAGTATGCTACAATCAACATGCTGCAACAAGCATACTATAATCAACATGCTTCAACTGGCATACTCCCATCCAAAGTCTTGGTCCCATGGGGATCCAGCCCACCCTGGTCTCTTCCCAGCCTGCTCAGAAGGGCAGCTGTCCTCCAGCCACACACATCAGTCTGGGAGGAGACACCCCTCCTGTTCTTACCAGGACTTTCCACGACTCAATTTTTTTGTAAAGTCCAAAGAAGTACGACAGCAGGAGCAGCAGAGAGATGAGAAACGAAGTGAGTGAGACGTACATCACCCATCCTTGCAGCAGGGGGTTTGCCACATGGGTGGCCGCTACCAGGACCCAGACAAAGAAGCCGAAAACCTGGAAGAGAAGGAAAGGTCAGAGGGGTGCCTCTGGGGGACAGCTTCCCATTGCTGAAGTCTCTCTAGTCCTCTGTCTGGCTAGAAGCTCAGCCAAAGCTGGAACAGTGAATGGGAAATGGGGAAGGAAACCCAGCCCCTCTGAACTGCAGTCAAAGCTGGTCTTTCCAGAAAGCTCAGGGACTGCAAATAGGGGCTCACGGCCACTCCGGCCTGCAATGTCTTCTTTAACACAGTGTTAAATCCAATCTGAACAAGTTGCTGTGGTTTAAAACAGGATATTTCACATGGAAACAAATCCAAATTTGGGGCATTTCTTGTTGTTCTGGGCAGTGTACCTGTTTTTCAGGCCACTGTTGACTAGAACAGGCTGTCACCATCTCTCTATAAAAGAGCTGGAGTCTGTATTGGATCACAACTCTCCTGCCACCCAGCCTGCGTCATCCTGTGTGGTTGTATGGTTGGCTCTCTGTGCCCTCTCCTCCCTCAGGCCACCCTGCACCATTGCCCATGCCTGCCTGGCCCTGTGAGACTTATTGGCCTGTGGCTGATGGCCCTGTGGTCAGTGACTGGCGGGGCACTCTGGGTCCCCTCCCATCAACTCTTAGCTCTGCCCTGACATTTCTAAGTCCCTCGGGGGGAACTCTGACGCTGTCTCTTTCCCTGTCCTTCTCTTTGGGCTTTTTGTTTTGCTTTCAGGCTGGACTTGCCCCGGGGGAGGAACCATCTGCTCAGGAAGTTATGTGTCCCCTTGAAGGCTTGGAGGGAGGGGACTGGCACAGGCACCAAGTGGCTCAGTTGTAGGTTTGGTTTCTCTCTGAATTCCTCGCTGGGACCTCCTGTGATGTCACTGCAGCCTTCCTTGGCTCTCCCTCTGTTTCCTGTTAAATTCACACCATGTTGGTTGGTGACTTCAGGACCCCCACGCTTCAGCCTACCTCTCTACGGCCAGCAGCCTCACACACCTCCTGTCCCCTGGGCCTCTTCACTGGGACACTCCTCTGCAGAGACTCACCTTGCACGTGCCCAATTCTGGGAGTGAGCACCTGCAATCCGGCCACTTCCTTCACATCACCCCAGCCCCGGTCCTACTCCATCAAGTTCAGCACATTTCAAATCTGAACCCCTTGCCATTCTCAGGCCCATCAGAACTCCATCCCTTTGTCCTGCTGAGTGAGAATGGCCCATCAAGGGAGGAGTTAGCAGATCCAGCAGGTGCCTACCCAGCCCTCTGAAGACAAGCATAGGGTCTTATTTCTTATACTTCAATGTGGACAAGCAGGGGTTACCCCTTCTACAGGCCAACAAAATAACATCTTATTTTAAGAAAAATTTCTCTATTTCAAATTCAGAATTACAGAGAGGGGAGAGAAAAAGCAATCTTCCATCTGTAGATTCACTCCCCAGATGGCCTCAATGGCCAGATGGATGAAGCCGGGCTGAAACCAGGAGTGTCTTCAGGTCTCCCACGTGGGTGCAGGGGCCCAAGACCTCAGGCCATCTTCTGTTGCCTTATCAGATGAATTAGCAGAAGTTGTATTAAAAGTGGATCTGCCCGGCACGGTGGCCTAGCAGCTAAAGTCCTTGCCTTGAACACGCATCGCCGGAATCCCATATGGGCGCCGGTTCTAACCCTGGCAGCTCCACTTCCCATCCAGCTCCCTGCTTGTGGCCTGGGAAAGCAGTTGAGGACAGCCCAAAGCCTTGGGACCCTGCACCCACATGGAAGACCTAGAGGAAGTTCCTGGATCCTGGCTTTGGATTGGCATAGCACCAGCCGTTGTGGTCACTTATGGAGTGAATCATTGGACGGAAAATCTTCCTCTCTGTCTCTTCTCCTCTCTGTATATCTGACTTTGCAATAAAAATAAAATAAATCTTTCAAAAAAAAAGTGGATCTGCCAGGACTTGAACTGGCACCCATATGAGGTGCCAGCACTGCAGCCATAGCTTAACATGCTAAGCCACAGCGCTGACCTCAACAAAGTAATTCAGAAAAAGAAGAGAAGCCTGTTTACCATGAGATCAGACAGAGCCTGAAGGAATCACACAAGGGTTCTGGAACTTTCCACAAAACTACAGTCACCAAAAGAGTAGAAAGGGCGGGTAACCACATTTCTGCTGCTTTCAAGAGATATCTGACCCACCCCCTGCCTAGTCCTGTTGCTGTACACACAAGTTAGCATCACTTGTCGGAATCTACCCCTTGGGTTGTTTATTGTCTTAACTCCAGAGCTCAGTTTGGAAGAACTGACATCCCTGTCTGTGGCCTGGAACAGCAGTCGAACATCCTTGGGACCCAGAGGAGGCTCCTGGCTGCTGGCTTAGGATTGGCTCAGCTCTGGCTGTCGTGGCCACTTTGGGAGCAAGCTGTAGAAGGCAGAGACTAGTCTATCTGTGTGTGTGTGTGTGAGCACATTTATCTGTAGATGCCCAGAATAATTCTGAAATGAGAGCCAATTCACCAAACAGTGCCTTGGCTCCTGGGGAGAGCCAGGTTGAGGACAGGTTTTGGAATGCGGGGCCATGTCCATGTTTATGTTGTTTGAAACAAGCCTTGTGCAAATTTAAAAGGTGACCGATGGAGGTTCACTAAGAAGTCAGAATCCCTTTTGGGGAGGGTGGGGGATCCCCCAGCTGGCAGCTGAGTGGCCTTGGTGGGCACGGGCAGGTGCACAGCTGAGGCAGGGGTTGCCTGCTACGGCGCAGTGAACTCTGCATCCTGAGAGGTCCTGAGACAGCCCTCACCCGAGGGATGACCTCGTGGGCAGGGTGAAGGCTTGCAGCTTCTGCACGGCCTGTCTGCTGGCAGAAGCCGGGAGGTGTCAGGGTGCGGTGGAGTGGGTACATGACAGCAGGTTTTTCTGCATAGCTGGGCGGTGTCTCTGTGCCAATCCTCACTGGCAGCCAATACCACATTCTTCTCCTTCCCACTTGTCTCACTTTTTATGACACTGTTGTCCCTCCCACCATTCCCTGGGATCCAAGCGACTGCAGACTCCTGGGAAGCCTCAGCAACATCAGGCTGGCAGGAGAAGGCCCTGATCCAGAAGAGTGAGGCCCGTGAAGTCCACGTGTGTTGCTGGATGCTGTTGGAACTGCCTGGAGCCTGGGAGCAAGGGGCTGCAGGAAGACACAGTGGGAACTCACCCACACCCTAAAAGCTGCCTCTGCTTCTGGGCCATTTCAAAACAAAAGTGCTACTGCACTTGGTTCATCTGTATCCACAGAGTAGGCAGGGTCTCTTGGGCTCTTAGAAGAGTTATGGCAAAATGCACCTTATTCAAGTGCCACCTGAACCAGCGGAGCGTGGGCAAGTGCATGGCCCTAAACACATTCCCAGCTCTATACAATAAGTAGTGGCATCCAGCTCCAGAGCCCTTTCCACCTGGGAAAACAGAAATTTGAGGCCGTTCAAGCAACTCCTCCCTGCTCTGCCCTCTCCACAGCCCCCCAAAACCTCCACTCTTCATACTGTGGCTGTGAATTTGTGTAGAGCACCTCATGTAAGCATTGGTCCTTTTCTGACTTGTTTGCTCCCCCAATGGCTTCAACAGACAGGCCTGGAACCTGAAACTTCATGTGGGTCTCCCACGTGGGTGCAGGGATCCAAGCAGTTAGATCAATTTCCAGTGCTGTGCAGGCGCATTAGCAGGGAACTGCATCAGGAGGGGATCAGCTGGGACTTGAATCAGTGTCCACATGCATAGAGGCTTAACATGCCGTGCCACGCTGCCAGCCCATGTTTTTCAAAATTGAGGTCTATTCCACTGCCTGCGTAGGCTGCGTGATACTCGTCCAACAATCTGCTGATGGAGACTTGACTATTGTGAAGAAGTCTTCTGTAAACAAACTTGCCCAAACACCTCTTCAATTACACCCTTTAAGAGGGAAAGCCAAGACAGGCGTTTCACCTACTGGTCAAGATTCCTGCATCTCACATCTTAATACCTGGGTTGGGTCTGGCGCAATGGCTCAGTGGCTAAATCCTCACCTTGCGAGCATTGGGGTTCCATATGGGCGCCAGTTCATGTCCCAGCTGCTTCACTTCCCATGCAGCTCCCTGCTTGTGGCCTGAGAAAGCAGTTGAGGCTGGACCAAAGCCTTGGGATCCTGCATCCATGTGGGAGACCCAGAAGAAGCTCCTGGCTCCTGGATTCGGGATGGTTCAGTTCTCACCATTGCAGCCAGTTGGGGAGTGAACCAATCGATGGAAGATTTCTCTATCTCTCTTCCTCTCCATAAAACTGATCTGCCTTTCCAATCAAAATGTTTTAAATCTTTAAAAAAAAATAACACCTGGGTTTGATTCCTCACTCAGGTTCCCGACTCCAGTTTCTGCCAATGCCATTTCATGCACCTGGGTTCCTGCCACCATGCAGGGGACCTGGAATGAGATCCTGGCTCTGGCCCTGCCCTGGTCCAGGCCATTGTGAGCACTGTGGAGAGAATGAGTAGATAAAAAAACAAGCTCTATCTTTCTCTCTCTGATGCTCTGCTTCCTTAAATAAATAAAACAAAAATACAAGAAAAGGGAGAAACAAGAAAAGGCCTGTGTACCCAAACAAGGTGTCCTGTGCATCAGTGTAGGGATGTATCAGCTAGACACCGTGCAGGAGTTCAGAATGCCGGAATTCCGGGCAGATTTTAGTGGATCAGGAAGGAAGGCTGCTGCAAAGTTTTGACCCTTAGATCTGATGATGACAAGAATAAAATATCCTGCTCCCTCCCAGGACTGGTCCTTAGGCACCTCTATGTGAATCACCGTGGAGCTGCATTTTGTATTTTCTGTTTTCTCCTTTACCTCCCAGCATAACAATGAAGGTGGTTTGTCTACTTGTAATCATCATAGTCTACGAGGTTGCTGCAGGTGCTCAAGCGGTGAACAAGTTAGTGCCTGGCGCGATGACCTGGCCACCGACCCATCGATGCACAGTGTGTGGTTCTATGTAAAGATACATTATCTAAACTTGCTGTCAACTTGTTAACCTTGGGCATGTG